TTAATGAAAATCAATACGCTATACACTTGTAACCAAATATATTGCATACTGCATCAATTCAACTATTTTATTGACTCAGTAGATTCAGAAATGGATATTCTCTTTATTCTCTCAATTCCCGTCTCACGTGGTGAATATCTGGTCTATTATCTACAACTATTGTCAGTTGTGTGCCAGTATCGGGGAAGATAGTAGCAGCTATGGGAGACCCCTGTATCCGTCTGTTAACCATCTGTAAATAGAGCAGTCAGTCGCGCTCTTGCTCTCTTTTCGCGCTGCTGCGCTGCTTTCGTTGCGCCCGATGAAAGCTTATACCAGAAGACTTCTGCAGCGTATGTAGCATTTATAATAGTTGTTTTGACCATTTTTATGTGTGGGGACACCTGCTGCCGAGCGCCACTGGCTGCCTGGCGGCAAGTTTTAGATCTTATGTATGTGACAACACTCAATAAACGCGCCAATTTTACTTGATTCTTAATTTGGAGGCGGAAAACTATACCTTTATATTTAGAATAGACCAGTAATACTACATTTTGTATAACAACAGCGTATCATAATCCATATTTATCTTTTCCATGTTCAATCAAATTATGATATTATCCCGCAATTGCCGCGGAGCCAGTAGACCATAAACTGTTCTATACTGATAAACGTATCTAACGTTTTCGATAACGTTTTCAAAATCCCTATTTGAAACAAAAAAAAGGTTTGGTACATAGCTGATTTGATAGTAGAGTGATTTATGAAGGCTTGATAATTGTGGGAAATCCTGACGGAAATTAAATTTCTCAGAGCCCCACAAACAGTAAATACCCCCCGATATCCCTCGACGTAGCCTTTTCTAAGAAGGCTATGCTTGTACATACAAAACACTAGGAGGCTATGACACGCGAGTATTTAAATATCTATTATTTATCTATATTTAACGTTAAGACTATTGAATATCCTATATTTATATCTCTCCTGTGATTGCGTGTAAGGTGCCTAGGATCCAAATGTGTTCAATTACGACTTTGGTTCTGTAAGACATACATATATATATATAGAGATATATATATATATACAGATATATATAAAAGTGTACACATAATGGCTCAGTTGGCGGCGGCGGCTGTGAAGGTCATTCGAGCGCTCGGCATACAGCTCAAAGCCAATCCGTACGACTACAGTGCACACATATCATATATACATGCGCTAAAGGAGCATGAAGATAGGGGTGGAGGTGTAGGGGGGCAAGACGCGCTAGAACATGCCCGTCAGCACCTTCGTAGTGTCTATCCTCTCTCAGGGACGCTTTGGGAGGAGTGGATTAGCGACACTGAAGTAGCGCAACGAGCCAGTAAATCGGTTAGTTCGTGTCCGTGATCGTGTAATATGTGTGTTCATTTTATATACATATTTATATATATTATACATATATATATATATGTGTGTGTGTGTGTGTGTGTGTGTATGTATGTATATATATATATGAGTGTGTGTGTGTGTGTTTGTTGTGTGTGTGTGTGTGTGTGAAGGTGTGTTACATATATTATATATATATAAATGTGTGTGTGTGTGTGAAGGAATGTTACATTTATATATATGTGTGTGTGTGTG